GGGTCCCCTTCCACACTGTTCAAGCTTTATTCTTTCACTCTTTACAATAAATCTTGCTGCTACTCACTCTTTGGGTACACACTGCCTTTAAGAGCTGTAACACTCACCATGAAGGTCTGCAGCTTCACTCCTGACAGCAAGACCATGAACCCACCAGAAGGAAGAAACTGTGGACACATCTGAACATCTGAAGGAACAAACTCCGGACTACCATCTTTAAGAACTGTAACACTCACTGTGAGGATCCGTGGCTTCATTCTTGAAGTAGGCGAGACCAAGAACCCACCACTTTCGGACACAGAAGTATGCAACAGCATGGTTCATTCAGAGAACTGAAAGTATAGTTGGCTAGTGGAAGTGGGGGGAAAAACACGAACACCTCAAATGCCTACTAAGCTGCCTGCATGTTTCTATTTTTCTTGATTATAATTGTTGGGGATTTTAGAGTGTGGTAAATTAAATTATTGACCGCATTCTTTCTCTCTCCCTGTATCTGCTGCTTTGCCCTTTGCCACTCACTCTAAAGCAAAGTGTCTATCCCAGTGGCTTTACTTTGGTCAATGGGATGTAAACATATTTGAGGCATTTCAAATACTTGAAATGTATTTGAGGAGGAGGGCTTGCCCTCTTGTACCTCTGCTCTTCTGCTCTTCTTATGCAGAAAGCTTCCCTTGGTAGCTGCTGTTTCTTTTGCTGAGACCCCCGAGTGAACACATGCAGGCTGGACACTGTGGCTTTTGCCTGTAATGCCAGCACTTTGTAAGGCCAAGGCGGGTAGATCACTTGAGGTCAGGAGTGAGACCAGCCTGGCCACCATGGTGCAACCATCGCTACTAAACAGCAAACATTAGCTGGCCTGGTGGCACTTGGCAGGGAGGCTGAGGCAGGAGACTCACTCGAATCTGTACAATGGAGGCAGCAGTGAGCCAAGATGGCACCACTGCACTCCAGCCTGGGTGACAGAGCAAGACTGCATCTCAAAACAAACAAATGAACAAACAACACACAATGGAGGAGAGCCTCACCATCTGACTTACACATCTAGAAGTGAAATAGATACTTATTACCAGATGCCACTGAAATTTTGTGTTTCTTTGTTATGCAGTGTTGTTGCAACAGTATTGGAGAATGAGACTTAAGTATATTTGTTCACTGGTTTCGTAATACCCCTAAATCACACAGCTCTCTTGAGTCAGTTGCAGCAGATTTGTCACACAGGGGCTGAGCCTGTTCCCTTGAAACAGGAGGAGAGCAGAATGGCTATATTAATAAGCTGATCCCAAAGGCAGAGCTATGAGAAGTGGGGAGATACGTATATCCTCTTTCCACTCTTAGCTAATAATATCCATCTATTAAACAAAGTAATTAATGCCTACTTTTCAGAGTTCTATGTGGGTTTAATTAAGTCTATAAACAAAGCACGAATATAGTGCCTGATATTGACTGTGTTCAACATAAATTATTCTTCTCATTCTTTCCCTACCCTATCCTGTGTCTGTTTTGTGTCTTTGTTTATATATTATTTTTTCCTTTTATCTTCTTCTTTTTAATTTTCTTCCTATTCCTCCATCTTTCTAATTCAACTCTAAATTAATGGTACTATATACTGTGTTCTATTCTACTGTGTCTGGAATTGGTGGGTTCTTGGTCTCGCTGACTTCAGGAATGAAGCTGCGGCCCCTCCTGGTGAGTATTACAGTTCTTCAGCAGGTCTGAAGTTATTTGTTCTTCCTGGTGAGTTCATGGTCTCACTGGCTTCAAGAGTGAAGCTGCAGACCTTCGCAGTGAGTGTTACAGATCTTAAAGGCGGTGTGGACCCGAAGAGTGAGTAGCAGCAAGATTTATTGTAAAGAGTGAAAGAATAAAGCTTCCACAGTGTGGAAGGGGACCCAAGGGGGTTGCCCTTGGCTGGCTTGGGCAGCCTGCTTTTATTCCCTTATCTGGCCCCACCCACATCCTGCTGATTGGTCCATTTCACAGAGAGCTGATTGTTCCATTTTACAGAGAGCTGACTGGACTGTTTTGACAGGGTGATGATTGGTGTGTTTACAATCCCTGAACTAGACACAGAGTGCTAGACAGAAAAGTTCTCCAAGTCCCCACTAGGTTAGCTAGATACAGAATACCAACTGGTGTATTTACAAACCCTGAGCTAGACACAGAGTGCTGATTGGTGTCCTTAGGATCCCTTAGCTAGACATAAAGTTCTCCAAGTCCCCACTAGACCCAGGAGCCCACCTGACTTCACCTAGTGGATCCCACACTGGGGCTGCAGGCGGAGCTGCCCACCAGTCCTGTGCAGTGAGCCCGCACTCCTCAGCCCTTGGGCCGTCCAAGGGACCGGGCACTGTGGCACAGGGGGTGGCACTCCTTGGGGAGGCTCCAGCTGTGCAGGACCCCAGAGTGTCAGGGGGAGTCTCGGGCATGGCGGGTTGCAGGTCCTGAACCCTGCCCTACCGGGAGGCAGCTGAGGCCCAGCGAGAATTTGAGTGCCTGGCGGGCTGGCACTGCTGGCAGACCCAGCGCACCCTCTACAGCTGCTGGCCCAGGTCCTAAGCCCCTCACTGTCTGGGGCTGGCGGCGCCCACTGGTGCTCTGAGTGCACTGGCCCATGAGCGCTGAACCCCGCCTCGGTTCTCGCTGGCACCTCTCCCTCCACACATCCCTGCAAGCAGAGGGAGCGGGCTCTGTCCTCGGCCAGCCCAGAGAGGGCTCCCACAGTACCGTGGTGGGCTGAAGGGCTCCTCAAGCGCCACCAGAGTGGGTGCCAAGGCAGAGGAGGCACTGAGAGCGAGGGCTGCTAGCATATTGTCACCTCTCAATCCCCCCTCTAAACAAGACACCCCAACTGCTGTTGGGAACTTGGCCAATGACCGCTCTAGCTGCTTCCTGCTGGATAGGGGCGATGAAGGGGCCCTGCAATTGTAGTATCCTCCAGAGGGGAGCTCTCTAGGCCAGTGAAAATGCCAGTGGGTTGGTCCAGGGGTCCTTGGTAGAAGTTGTTAGTTGAGCTCATTTGGGGTTTCATTTGTAAGACCATCTGTATCTTGATGGTCTCGATTCTGGAGGAAACAAATTTGACAAGAAGGTTAAAGATATAGGACTCAAAGGTGAGTAACAGCAAAATGGCTGCCATGGGACCTAGAAAGGGGAAAAGCCATGCTGCCAATTCCAGAGGTTGGTATGAGAGTTTGAAAGGCATCTGATTTTAGAAGTCTTTTCCTGTAAACGCCGGGTGGCATCTTGTACTATCTCTGAGGAACCTTAATTGCATATTACTAAGTGAAAGAAGCCAGTCTGAAAAGGCTACACAGTGTATGATTCCAATAAGACATTCTAGAAAAGGGAAAACTAGGGAGACAGTAAAAATGGTTGCCAAAGAATGAGATCATGTCCTTTGCAGGAACAAGGATGGAGCTGGAGGCCATTATCCTTAACAACTATCACAGGAACAGGAAACCAAATATTGCATGTTCTCACTTATAAGTGGGAGTGAAATAACATGGACACAAAGGAATAACATACTGGGGCCTACCTGAAGGTAGAAGGTGGGAAAAGGGACAGGACCAGAAAAATTACTATTGAGGACTAGGCTTAGTACCTGGGTCACTAAATAATCTGTATAACAAACCCCCTTGTCACGAGTTTACCTGCACATGTACCCCCTGAACCTAAAATAATTTTTTAAAAGTGGTTGCCAGGGGATTAGGAAAGAAAGGGATGAATAGGTGAAGCACAGAGAAGTTTTAGGGCAGTGAAACTATTCTCTATGATTTCATAATTGTAGATATCATTATACATTTGTCCAAGCCCATACGATGTACAATACCAAGAGTGAATCCTCATGTAAATTATGGACTTTGGGCAATAATGATGTGTCTGGTGTGGGATATTGATAGTGGCTGGAGGCTACGCATGTGTGAGGGCAGGGGATATATGAGAAATTTCTTTTTGTTCAATTTTGCTGTGAACCTACAACTGATTTAAAAAATTTTTTTTAAAACTATACTCTAAAGATGAAATCAAGAGTAATAGGAGGGTCCTCTGGACTCAAGAATGACTTCTTTTTTTTTTTTTTTTTGGTAGAGACAGGATCTTGCTATGTTGCCCAGGCTGGTCTTGAACTCCTATTCTCAAGAGAGCCTCCTGTGTCAGCCTTGTAAAGCACTGGGATTATATGCATGAACCACTGCACCCAGCCAAGATTGCCATTTTGTATGATAAGACTGGAAGGACCCAATTGTTTCAGGATTTTGCTACAATATACGAAAACCAATCTGTGAGACAGTGGCTGGGCTTTTTTCCTGCCTGATTAATTCAGTGCACATACAACTTGGACCAGAGGTTCTGGGTTTGAATCCCAGCTCTGATACTTCCCAAACTGAGCTGTTTTCCTTATTTGTAAAGACTAAATGAGCTCGCATATGTCAAAAAGCTCTGTAACCTCTCAACACATACAAAGTGCTACTGCTGAAATGATTTATAAAGGTATCTTAAGAACGTCCCAGATGAGTGAATGTTGGTTATGATGCATGACCACATCTTAGTGTGCTCCTGGTCAGCTCCTGACTTTGAGAAAACAAGGATAGGAAGGCCCATGTCCCTTGCACAAGACAACCAGCTCAATGCAGGGACAGGCGCTGAGAGGTGAAAGAGACCTAGTCTTATAGCTTCTGATCTGGGTGCAACTTGCAATGGGAAGGAAGGGACAGAAGCTCTAAATAGACCCACATACACACCCTAGGACATAATAAAGCCACCAGCCAACAGGAAAAGCAGCACAATTCCCAAGCATCCTCTTGGTTAAATAGATAAAAGAACGGCTGCCACACCATGTCTGTGAAAGCTGGGGAGCAGCATCTGCAGAGCAGAAGTCACTACTGCTGAGCTTCCAAATCCCATATGCCTGACCATAGCAACTCTTTCCATGCCCAACAAATGAAGCAATCTGGGGAAGCCAATACCTGGAAAGTTTACTACACAGGGCAATCTACAGTGGGGCCAAGTGCTAAAGCAAAAATTTATTAAAATTCATTTATATAGTGTTTTATAGACAAAAGTAGAGTTTTTGACATTCAAGCAATCACCTGTATTTTCAGAAGTGTTTCATGAGCAAATGGATTTCTTTCCCTTCCCCACAATAAGATATTTCTGTCTATACTCCTAAAAGTGATGCATTTATTTATGCCACCTTTACAAGAACAATCCCTTTGTGATCCCAAAACCTGGGCAGGGAGTGAAAAGAGACAAACAGAACCTTCTCCAAAATGGTAGTCCTCACAACAGAGATGTAGTGCAAGAGATACATAAAATGGCAGCTCTTGAGCGGAATGTGAGCACACCCAGTGGGGTAGGCAGCCCCTAACTGTGCAGTGTGGCCAGCCAGGACTGCATGGCCTCCAGAGCCTCTTCCTCCTTCTCATCGTCTGAGGTGGCCATCACTCCTGAAGGTTCTGCCTCTGGAAGGGCATCGGTCACTTCACTGGGTGCTGTGCCCAAGGCCCCTTCTGTAATTTCAAACAGAATTCTGTCAATTTCCATTTCTGCTTCTTCCTCCATTTCTTCCTGATTGTCCATGCTTTCAAAAGTGTCCTCTAACATCTCCTCTATGATCCCAGCCTTCATCATTTCTTTGGACAACTCCCTCATGGTGGCCTGAATTTCTGGAATGTTCACAAGACGTTGCATGGCCTTCATCAATTCTGTGCTCTTCTACAGGGAACCAGCCACTTGCAAGACAGCGATCTGGTTCTTCATCCCCATCAGCACTGAGTTCATGTGTGCTTTGGATGCATACAGCTTGCTCACAGCCTTCCTTGACCTGAACATCTCCTTGGCCAGAAATACACAGACATCCTTCTGGCCCTTCTTGGCAGCATCTTTTACAGACCATTTCACTTTTTCTTTTCCTCTTTGGATATCTCTTATTTGCCTGTCCACAACTCTCATTTTCTTTCTTATCTTCAATGACCACTCATTGACCGGTTCTTTGGGAGCCTTCTCCTGGTTTTTTTCCAAACAGTCAATTCAATGATGAATTGAACCCGTCTTGCCCCTTCTGGTGAGGGCTGCTAGCATGTTGTCACCTCCCAATACTACCTTTATGCTCTTTTTCTTAATTAACAAATCCAATGCACAAAACATTTATTCCCTTCTATAAACACAAATCAAGTTGAATTACATTTGTGTGTGTGTGTGTGTGTGTGTGTGTGTGTGTGTATGTGTGTGACAAGATCTCACTCTGTCACCAGAATGGAACAGCTCACTGCAGCCTCGACCTTCCAGGCTCAAGCGACCCTCCCACCTCAGCCTCCTGAGTAGCAAGGAGTACAGGCGCGTGTCAAAATGCTTGGCTAATTTTTTATTTTTTGTGGAGATGAGGTTTCACTGTTACCCAGGTTGGTCTTGAACTCCTGAGCTCAAGCCATCCTCCAGCCTCAGCCTCACAAAATGTTGGGAATACAAGCATGAGCCACCACACCTGGCCTAAATTCTTTTTGAAATCAGTTTGGTTGTTCCATTGATTTTCAAATTTTGGGACATTGGCTCTTACCAGTAAAAATCTTCCATCTCTTCATTATGTAACTGTCCAATTTCTCATATGTTTTCCATTTCCACTTGTGACTTCTGATATATAGATGTGTCGTCCCTGCTCAAATCTCATGTTGGAAATGCAATCCCCAATGTTGGAGGTAGGGCCTAATGGGAGGTGACTGAATCATGTGGGCAGATTTCTCATGATATGTTTAGTACCATCCCCTTGATACTGTCCTAGAGATAGTGAGTGAGTTCTCACAAGATCGAGTCATTTAAAAGTATGTGGCACCTACCCCTCTCTTCTGGCTCCTGCTTTCACCATGTGAGGTACAAGCTCCCGCTTGGCCTTCCTCAGTGATTGCAAGCTTTCAGAGGCCTCCCCAGAAGCAGCTGCTGCTATACTTCCTGTACAGCCTGTAGAACCGTGAGCCAACAAAACCTCTTCTTTTCTTATAAACTACTCAGTCTCAGATATTTCTTTATAGCAATGCCGGAATCAACTAATACAACTTCCTAAAGAGAAAATACTTTCTCAATCTAATTTAATATGCACTTGAGTTTATTTTACTTTTGATATCAAATCCTTAGTTATATGACAGAGCAATATGTTGGTCACTAAACAATACTGGTGTGTTTCCATTTTCATATCTTAAAAAAATCAATGTTGGAGGATTGACACAAAAGAAAAAGGTATTAAAAGCCAAGCACAGGGTCTAGGTAAAGTAGTTACTCAGTGGCTGGAAGACAGGAAAGGAAGGGAAGGTGGGGGAGGGGATGGGAGGGGAAGGGAGAAGGGAAGAGGAGGGGATGGGAGAAGGAGAAGTGAAGGGAAGGGGAAGAGGGAAGGAGGGAAGAGAAGGGGGAGGGAGGAGAGGAGGGAAGGAATGAAGGAAGGGAGGGAGGAAGGGAGGAAGGGAGGAAGGAAGGAGGGAAGGAAGGCAGGAAAGAAGAAAGGAAGAATGGAAGGAAGAAAGAAAATATAAATAAGAGCTGTTAATTTGGCAGGGTAAGTAAACATGAAAGGAGTGAATAAAGATGACCTGTTGTGTGAAAACAGAGACAACCAGTCCCACTTACCTGAAACGTGGGCAAAGACCAGGGTGTGACAGGGGCAGGGTAGAGAACAAATAGCATTTGAGGCTGCAGAGTAGATCATAGTCTCTACATGAAGAGGATCACTATCAAACTTCTGAAACCATCTACACTTGTCATTTCCAGGTTATTTATAGGTTTTGGAAAAGAAACACGATGTGAGGGAAAAGCCAAATAACTTAAAAACATTATTATGCAGTAACTGTGCAAAATGGTTTGAAGTACAAAATAACAGTCACAGTTGAATGATAGTCATAGTTGAAAATCTCAGCTAACAATACTCTGGAAACTTTTTATTAAAGTAAATTATTGTTTAAGGTTTTGAGAGAATGCATTTTTGTTCTATAGCTTATTGTTTGAGATTCGATGGAGCTAGTTTATTTTATTTTCTATGGCACACACTCCTCCATGGGGGCCTGCAGCACCCTAAGCCATAGGAAAGGGAAGGGCAGAACTGTTCATCCCACAATGGCAATAACGTTTGTTTCTTTTAAGGACCTCTTTATCTGATCTTCCCAAATTTAGTAATCCATGGAATAATAGACTGAGAAGCATTAATAACACTGACAGGTTTATGTAGCAGTGCCTGAAGGTGGAAAAAGAAGATAAATTGGGATATAGTGTGCATTTTAGCCAGATCAGAGGGAGCTTTTCATCTGAAATATTTAGACAGGTTTTTGTTGTTGTTGTTGTTGTTGTTGTTATTGTTTTTGTTTGTTTTGTTTTGTTTTTAATGTACTCCTGACTGTTGCAAAAACTAATTTCCACTTTATGGAACTTGTGACTTGATCTGTCTCTGGTCTGTGTGGCAGGCTTGGGTATATTCTGGCATTGTCAACTGGCTTTGAAACCTAGAGTAAACATTTCTTTTGCTCCTTTCTTGAGCAAAATGGATGCAGGGGTATGGGGTCTGCCTTATTTCAATAAAGTACATACCTTCTATTTCCTCTGGTCTGTGTAGGAAATCTGGTAGCCATCATTCAAAGAGCATTTGAGTGGAATTCAGAAGAGAGCTCAAATGAGTTTACCCCACAGCTCAGGAGCAACTCACTCAGTGATAGCACTGTAGTGTGCAGCACCCAGTTTTTTGGAGCCCAGAAAGAGTAGTTCTGATTCTTAGGCCTCCAGTACACAATGTTTATTTAAAGAGACTTGTAGTCCATGATGTGTTTCTTTCTGAAATGAAAATAGAGATACATTATTATCTGGTGGTTCATAGAACCATGAGGTTTCTTAATTTCTTTTTTTTTTTTTGAGATGGAGTCTCACTCTGTCACCCAGGCTGGAGTACAGTGGCGCAATCTCAGCTCACTGCAACCTCCACATTCCGGGTTCAAGCAATTCTCTTGACTCAGCCTCCCAAAGAACTGGGACTACAGGCACCCACTGCTGCACCTCGCTAAATTTTGTATTTTAGTAGAGACATGGTTTCATGGTTGCCCAGGCTGGTGGCAAACTCCTGACCTCAGGCATTCTGCCCACCTCGGCCTCCCAAAGTGCTGGGATTACAGGCGTGAGCCACTGCACCTGGCCTCTCTTAAATTTTTTTTTTTTTTTTTTTTTTTTCTGAGACAGAATCTTGCTCTGTCACCCAGACTGGAGTGCAGTGGTGCCATATGGGCTCACTGCAAGCTCTGCCTCCCAGGTTCATGCCATTCTCCTGCCTCGGCCTCCCAAGTAGCTGGGACTACAGGTGCCTACCACCACACCTGGCTAACTTTTTGTATTTTTAGTAGAGATAGGTTTTCACTGTGTTAGCCAGGATGGTCTCGATCTCCTGACCTCGTGATCTGCCTGCCTCAGCGTCCCAAAGTGCTGGAATTACAGGCGTGAGCCACTGCGCCTGACCTCTTAAATTTTTTTTAACCCGAAAGTACTTTTATTTTACCTTCATTTTTGAAGGTTATTTTTTACTAGCTATCAAATTTTAGTTTGTTACCTGTTTTCTGCCAGCAACTTAAAGAGGTCTCTATTAGTCAGTATTCTCTAGAGGGACAGAACTAATAGGAGATATATATATTTTCTGACAAGCTGAGTATATTAAGTATTAACTCACATGATCACAAGGTCCCACAATAGGCTGCCTACAAGTTGAGGAGCAAGGAGAGCCAGTCTGAGTTCCAAAAATGAAGAACTTGGAGCCTGATGTTCAAGGGCAGGAAGCATCCAGCATGGGAGAAAGAAGTAGGCTGGGAGGCTAGGCCAGTCTAGTCTTTTCACGTTTTTCTGCCTGCTTTATATTCTAGCCATGCTGGCAGCTGATTAGATGGTGCCCACCCAGATTAACAGTGGCTCTGCCTTTCCTAGCCCACTGACTCAAATGTTAGTCTCCTTTGGCGACACCCTCACAGACACACCCAGGATCAACACTTTGCATCCTTCAATCCTATCAAATTGACACTTGGTATTAACCATCACAAGGTCATTCCATAGTTTTTGGCTTTTGTCATTGCTGAAAAGTTGGTGTAAGGTAAATTATTGCTGCTTTGAAGGTAATGTGTCTTTTTTTCAGATTATTTTTTAAAAATTTATCTTTGACTTTTTTTTTTCCCAGAAATTTGCAGTGTTTTTTTTTCTTCTTGTATTTATCCTGCTTCAGTTTTAAAGTGCTTGATGTGAATTAATACATTTTAATAGTTTTGAAAATTCTCAGTCAGTACTCAACAACATTCTCTGTTCTCTCTTCTTTTGGAACTCAGATTATGTTTAAATTTGACAGATTTAACATTTCCTCTCTCTCTCTCTTATGCTCTTTAATAATTTTTCTCTTCTCCATTCTCTTCATATTTTTAATCTTCTACACTTTTTGTTTTTTAAAGCTACTGTCAAATACGTTTATTTGAGTTCATATTTTTAATTATTAAATTTTGCATTCTAAATTATTTGTTGTTTTAAATAGAGTTTCATTCTTTGGTGAGATTCTTGCTATGTTGCAAATATTTTAAAATCTAGGCCCAATAATTCCAAATTCTAAAACCTGTGTACATGTTTCTATTATTTTTTTCTTCTCTTTTTGATCATTTAGTTTTGTTTTTTGATGTAACTAATAATTTTGATTAAATGATAAAAATGTATACAAAACTTTTAATAGATAATTTAAGGCTCTGGCTACTCATGTTTTCCTTAGGCATTTACTTTTGCTTTCTAGGAGGCAGTTAAAGGAGAATAGAATACTTTAAACCAAGTGGAAATTAAGCTGATTTAAAGTTGGTTTTCAATCACTGTGAAAATTGAGCTATCTCTTTTTTCATATGTTTGTTGGTTACATGAATGTCTTCTTTTGAGAAGTGTCTGTTCATGTCCTTTGCCCACCTTTTAATGGGGTTGTCTTTTTCTTATAAATTTGTTTAAGTTCATTCTGGATATTAGACCTTTGTTAGATGGATAGATTGCAAAAAATTTCCCCACTCTGTAGGGCGCATGTTTGCTTTGATGATTTTTTCTTTTGCTGTGCAGAAACTCTTTAGTTTATGTGTTTGTTGCTATTGCTTTTGGTAATTCCATGATCAAATATTTGCCTGTGTCTATGTCCTTAATGGTATTGCCTAGATTTCCTTCTAGAGTTTTTATAGTTTTGGGTTTTACATGTAAGTCTTTAATACATCCTGAGTTAATTTCTGTATAAGGCGTAAGGAAGAGACTTAGTTTCAATTCTCTACATATGGCTAGCCAGTTCTCCCAGCACCATTTATTAAGTAGGGAATTGTATTAGTCGATTTTCACATTGGTATAAAGATATACCTGAGACTGGGCAATTTACAAAAGAAAGGGGTTTAATGTACTTACAGTTCCACATGGCTGGGGAGGCCTCACAATCATGCCAGTAGGCAAGGAGGAACAAGTTATGTCTTACATGGATGGCAGCAGGCAACAAGAGAGAGCTTGTGCAGCAGAATTCCTCTTTATAAAACCATCAGATCTCATGAGACTTATTCACTATCATGAGAACAGCATGGGAAAGACCCACTGTCGTGATTCAATTACCTCCCACTGGGTCCCTCCCACAACATGTGGGAATTCAAGATGAGATTTGGGTGAGGAGATAGCCAAACCATATCATTCTGCCCCTGGCTGCTTCCAAATCTTGAGTCCTTATGTTTCAAGGCCAATCATGCCTTTCCAACAGTCCCACAAAGGCTTAACTTATTTCAGCATTAACTCAAAAGTCCACCGTCCAAAATCTCACCTGAGACAAAGCGAGTCTCTTCTGCCTATGAGTCTGTAAAATCAAAAGCAAGCTAGTTACTTCCTAGATACAATGAGAGTACAGGCATTGAGTAAATACCACCAGTCTAAATGGGAGAAATTGACCAAAACAAAGGGGCTACAGGCCCCATACAAGTCTGACATCTAGCAGGGCAGTCAGATCTTAAAGCTCCAAAATGATCTCCCTTGACTCCATGTCTCACATCCAGATCACAGTGATACAAGAGGTGGGTTTCCAAGGTCTTGGGCAGCTCTACCCCTGTGGCTTTGCAGGGTGCAGCATCCCTCCTGGCTGCTTTCACAGGCTTAGATTGAGTTTCTCCACCTTTCCAGGTGCATGGTACTACCATGCACCATGGTGCTGTCAGTGGATCTACCATTCTAGGGTCTGGAGGACAGTGGTCCTCTTCTCACAGCTCCACTAGGCAGTGACCCAGCAGGGACTCTGTGTGGGGGCTCTGACCCCACATTTCCTTTCTGTACTGCCCTAGTAGAGATTCTCCGTAAAGGCCCCACCCCTGCAGCAAACTTCTTCCTGGGCATCCACACGTTTCCATACATCCTCTGAAATCTAGGTAGAGGTTCCCAAATCCCAATGCTTGACTTCTTTGCACCTGCAGGCTCAATACCATTTGGAAGCTGCCAATGCTTAGGGCTTCCACTTTCTAAAGCAACAGCCCAAGTTGTACCTTGACTCCTTTTAGTCAAGACTGGAGTGCCAGAGACACTGGGAACGAAGTCCTTAGAGTGCACACAGCAGAGTGACCCTGAGCCTGGCTCAAAAAACCATTTTTTTCCTCCTAAATGGGCCTGTGATGGGACAGGCTGCCACAAAT